ACACTACGTCCCCGGTCGCCAGATGGGCCGCCCTGATGCCCTCTCCCGTCGGCCTGACCACGGCATCTCCGAAGACAGCTCGAACGTCACCCTCTTGCACCCTGAGCTTTTCCACGTTCGCGCGCTTGAGGCTGTCACTGTTGGTCCGAACTTGTCCGCGACATCAAGGAAGCGCTATCCGGTGAGCCTGACCTAGAGGAGCCCGTCGCGCTTGCGGCCCGGCAACTCTTGAAGGTCCGAGGTCAAGTTCGGGGCCCCCGCTCATCACGTTTGGGACGAGTGGGCCGTCTCGGGCGATCTCTTGTACTTCCGCGGCAAGGTCATAGTCCCCAAAGACAAGGACCTAAGGAGGCGCATCATCGAGCTCTGCCACGATACGCGAGTCGCCGGACACGCCCGGTCGGTTCAAAACCCTAGAGCTGGTTTCACGCAACTACTAGTGGCCACAGATGTCCCGCCATATCGGATGCTACGTCGCGACCTGCGACTTGTGCTGTCGCGCGAAGGCCCTCCGAAGGCTCCCGCACGGAGAGCTACACCCGACTGAAGTCCCCCCCCGAACGCTGGCACACCGTCACAGTGGACTTCATCGTCGAGCTCCCCGAGGCTCATAGGTACGACGCGGTCATGGTAGTCGTCGACGCTCTTGGCAAACGCGCTCACTTCACTGAGTGCCATACGACAATAGACGCGGTCGGAGCCGCCCAGTTGTACTATCGGAATGTCTGGAGGCACCACGGAACCCCTGAGAAGTACATTTCGGACCGTGGTTCGCAGTTCATCGCTGACTTCACGCGCGAACTCTGGCGCTTAATTGGTGTCAAACCGGCTACCTCTATGGCTTACCACCCGCAAACCGACGGACAAACCGAACGCGTTAACCAAGAGCTCGAGCAGTACATCTGGATCTTCACCAACTACCAACAAGACGACTGGGATGAGCTTATCCCTGCCGCTGAGTTCGCCTATAACAACCACGTTCACTCCTCCACTCAACAGGTACCCTTTATGACGGATACTAGTCGGCTCCCCCGAATGGGTTTTCGAGCCAGGCGCAGCTCATATGGCTGCATCTATGCAAAAGATGTGGGTAGCATCCTAGGGGGGTAATGCAAAAGATGAGGGCAACTACTTAGAAATTAAATTAAATAACACTGTTTTCTTGTTTGTGGCTGCTATATCAAGGTATCGGTGATGGGATCAATGGCATATAGGTATGTTGATCAATGTGGAACGATTTTTGATTGCCATCAGAGCTTTTGATGACTGCATCTTGCTACATCAACCTTACTTAATCGATTATTAATTTTTTGGTCCCTGGGCTTATAAGTACCAAATATAATATTACGAATATTCGGCCCAAAGAAAAGGTGATTTATCTTCCTATATGTATTTTTATATTAGTCATATCTCTTGATTCCAGTGAGAAATTCATGAAATCCATCTGTCACAACATCTTTTGCATTACCCCCTTGGGATGGTACCCACATCTTTTGCATAGATGCAGCTATATGTACTGCCAGGCGCCCGCTCAGAGTTGGAGTCGGTGAACGAGTTTCGCAATCGGATAGCTAACGGCGTCTCCGAGGCAAAGGCCGCGCTCGTTAAAGCCAAAGACGAGTATAAACGGTACTACAATCGGAAACGTTCGGACGCTCCGAATATTCAAGTTGGTGATAAGGTTTGGTTGGACGCTTCTGACATTAGAACGACTGGGCCCTCCGAGAAGTTCTCCCACAAGCGCCTCGGACCGTTCAAGGTGCTCGCAGAGGTTAGCAAAGGTGCCTACAAGCTCGACCTCCCCCCGCGTTACTCCAAGCTCCACCCCATCTTCCCCGTTGTTAAGCTCGAGCCCGCTCAGGACGACCCTTTCAATGGACGACCCGGCTACGACGAACCGCCCCCCGAGCTAGAGGACGGAGTCCCCGAATGGGAAGTCAAGGAAATCTTGGATGCCAGGATAAGGTATAAGCGTCTTAACTATTTCGTCAGGTGGAAAGGCTACGATGCTTCACACAACTCGTGGGTTTGGTTCGACCGTGTCTTTGCGCCAGACAAGATTGCGGACTTCTATCGGAGGTACCCAGGTAAACCACGACACATTGCCTCAGCAACCTTCAACTCCTTACCCTTTCGAACTATGCGTCGGGACGCCGCATTCAAAGGGGGGGGTGATGTCAGGGGAACCCCCGCTTCGGCCTCCTTCGGACCCTCCGAACGCATCCGAGGCGCATCCAACCGGCGCCCCCTCGGATGCTCCGACCCACCCCGACCATCGTCCACAGCCTCCTTCGCCCGCACAATCACCGATCCATCAAGACCCTCCCAACGATCACCTTGGGACAGAGCCTGCGACACCGCTCAGGCCTTCTGCGCTCTACGTCGGCAGTTACGGACAACCAGTATATAGTTGGCACCCTAGCAGGCGGACCCTTAGAGTTTCTTCTCTTTGGATCCTCCCCTGCTAGGTCGGTCCCTCCGTGTATTCCCGTAGCTTTTATTCACGCTTTGGATCCTCCCCTGCTAGGCTTTCGTCGGAGTCTCCAGGGTTGCCCTTACAATTTGTAACACCTGATCATGAGCCCTTCCTCATATAAGTACGGCCTTTCACCAGTAGTCATGTTTTTATTAGTATTCCTGAGTGAATGAGCTGGCTGACAGTCAGGTATACTTTCACTTCATATTAGAGAAGATAGGTGGGAACTACAGGCAGGTGCTACTTAGGTGCTACTTGTCTGTAGCTGCTGTCAGGCACAGAAGGCCTGGGAGGGACCCGGAGGGCAGGGCAGGTCCAAGGGCAACCATTGAGAGGATATTGACAGATCCATAATAGTGTGCACCAGAGCAGAGACAGGCATCTCTGGAGGGTTGGAATAGGGGGTTCTCCTGACAGTGATAGCCTTGTGAGTTCTCTTCTGACTTTAAATTTCTCCCCTTCAGTCCTTGCACAGCACTTAACAGGTAACCATTAACAAGAAATCATATATTAGATTAAAGATTGTGGATATTAATTGGTTATTGGTATTCCACAATGGAAAAAGTATTAAAAACATTCCCATTAAGACCTCAGCTTGCCCAGGCAGGTAACCCACCTCTTTGGCGCCTGCTGACGCCTTTGCTAGAGGTCCAGACCACATTATCATCATCGTCATACCCTCCAGGTGTCCGTGTCTGGTCCTTGGCTCGTCCCCAGCTTAAACTAACACTCCATCGACCACTTCCGGTAGCGGTATAATTGGGCAAAGAAGGCACAGGAGGTGCCATGTTCGTGGTATGACCGTCCAGCTCAAGACACCGACGTAGACTGCGTACAGAACGGCTTCGTTCGATCGCAGGCGGTTGATTGATACCGGGGACAAGTATTCGCGCAAGCGTGATCTCCTCTTCTCCGTCTGATGAGATATCACTCGCCGAGTCTTCATCAACATCTCGACGAGGTGGGGAGAGCAATTGGCCAGAGGTATCGGACGTTCCCCATCCTGCAATAAACCGCGAGCGGTCATCATGGCCAGGGAGTTCCAATTGGCCGTGCAAGTCTAGATCGGCCTCGCGAGCTTTACCTTTACCATCCCGACGCACAGGCGACGAACCGCGACTTCGACAAACCACCCTGCTGATGCTAACCTGACTTTCGCTCCGTTTAGCTTTGCTGATTCTGAGACGTGTAGTCAATACCGGAGCTGCAGCGTTGGTACGGTCGCTCAGCCGACCCCTTGTCTTGTTAGATATGTCTTGCTCAAGTGTTGGTGCTCCAGATACGGGTAATGGGGGTGCCGCAGCAAAATACTCTTTGGCCCGTTTAACATTGTCTATCCAACCAATGGGCATTCGCTGCGATAATGTCGGGCTGAGAATTGAATCGTCTTCTGGACCATCCGTCAAACGAGTAAACGTTGCAGGGAGTGGTGGTGTACTCTGCGATCGCTCATATGATGTCATGTGACGGAGGTATGCTGAGGCGCGGGTGGGTGTTGGTTGGTGATGTTGCGCGACCGGTAATGGCGACACCCACTCACTTGAGTGCGATGCAGAAGGAGCATGCTGCTTATTTATCGTTCTTCTGGGAGCAGGTTGGGCTTGAACAGAGGCAAACGAATCGCTCGACTGATGTCGCCGTATTTCAGCATGACTGCTACTCGAGTTGAAAGATGGTCGGGAAGTTGAACTTTGGGTGGCACTTGTACTAGGTGGCCGGGGCGTGCGATTGAGAGAAGGGGAAGGTGGGGGAGAGTAGATTGGCTCATTATCTTGTCGTAAGCTCGATGACCGGCTTGGTACCAAATTTGACAAAAAGCCAACGACCTGAGCACCGACGGTTGGGCTGCTGAGATTCGTTCTGTCAGTCTCTGGCGTGACGATTCGAGTTTCCCGATAGCCTGCTTCGCGCAAAAGGTCTTCAAGACGTTCATAAGTCCTGGATGTGCCTCTTCTATGCAAAGGAACTCGTCCAATCGAGTCGGGGTAGTATTTGCGGGGGCGAGAAGGTGTCGTTGTTAGCTGTGTGGAGGAGGCAGCAGAAGTGGAATTGCTCGGGGACGGTGGAGGCGGCATTGACGAAATGGAACGGCTCATCTACTTTATTAGTTACGACAATCTCCACGGTGACGCGTGTACCTTGTCCTGGTTAGCATGTCGAGCCAGCGCCATCGGTGAAGTCGAGAGGCAGTAGTTATTCGCACGTGACGATGAGAACAGAATGTCCGAATTTCAATCAAACAAGTATAACCGTCCGTGCCTGTGGCATGGAATATAATAAGAAAAGGAACTTCCAGCGTCCACACGGCCGCTCGCCTGCGGCTCGCGACCGGCGGGCGGTATCCGAGCGGTGGTCACATGAATTTCACGTGCCATCAATCAAAACGCGTGACTTTCTGTCAATGCCGGCACGGTAGTGTTTTAATATTATAGAGAAGAGATAGAGATAGAGAAGATGCTATCAAATGTCTACGTTGAAGGAGGCCTAAGGTGGTACAACATCTAATGTATACAATGTACTCTACTTATGCCCTGCCTCTCCCCCCGGTTGATTTACTAAAAAGCTTTGCCTTTTCAATTGCCGCATTACTCTGCTTGACCAAATTTTTCTTGTAATCCATGATGCTAATGTCCATTTTGGTCAGATTTTTGATGGTATGGTCGGCGACCTCCCAAAGCTCTTCCGCCACTTGCGAAATCAGCCGGAAGTCGTGCGATACAATAACCACCCCGCCTTCGAATTCTTTGATAGCCCGCGCGAGCGCATCAATGGACTCCATATCCAAATGATTCGTTGGTTCGTCAAGGAGGAGGATGTGAGGGTGTTCCATCGCCAACTGCGCAAAAACGACTCGATTGCGCAAACCATCCGATAACTGTTTGATCGGGGCGGTTTGATGAGCACCCGAGAGACCGAACCGGCCAAGTTGTGACCGCCAACCCTGTAAGTCGATCTCCGGGAATCGCTGAGAGAATAGCTGCTGGAAGTATTCGATGGGGGAAGAGTCGTAGGGTAGTTGGTCCGCACTGTGTTGCGAGTATTTCGCCAATTTGAGTGCAGCATGTTTGGATACCGTTCCCTCCACAGGCTGTAGAGCGCCAGTAATCAGATGTAATAACGTCGACTTGCCCGTTCCGTTGGCACCGAGAATGGCTACTCGTGCGTCCATACTAGGCAATCGGTCAGAGGGTGTCTCCTTGGGAGATAATGACTTACTCAATACCAAAACTTAAGTTTTCGTACAGATAGTCCTTCTTGGCCCCCGAATACGAGAAGGCTACCCTGTCAAAAGCAATGATCGGGGGTGGCAGTTTTTTGACGTCCTCGAAGTTGAAACGCAATGGCTTGCCAACTTCAATCTTCTCTATCAAACCGGCTGCTTCCATCTTGTCGATAATCTTTTGCTTCGACTTAGCTTGTCGAACAAGGTTGGCGTATGTTCCCGCCGACGCAATAAACCTACTAGGATTAGATGGAGTCACTGTGCGCAAACAGGAACTGGCTTTTTTATATGAGCGATTTCTTCCTGTTGCTTGTGGTACGCCTTCATCTGATTGACCTCATTTTCCTGCTTGGTGCGAACATATGTTGTGTAGTTGCCCGTGTAGTAGACCATCTTTTTTTTCGGCGTTAGGTCCATGATATTGGTACACACACTGTCCATGAAATCCTGGGAATGACTGGTGATGACGAGAATGTGATTATAGGTGCTCAGATAAGCTTCGAGCCATACGACCGCCCCGAGGTCAAGATGATTCGTGGGCTCATCGAGGAGGAGTAAATGTGGTTTAACGAAGAGTGCACGAGCAAGTGCGACACGCATGCGCCAACCACCGCTCATGTCCTTAGTGGGCTTCTTCATCATCGTTTGAGAGAAGCCTAATCCGTGGAGAATGCTGCCCGCTTTCGTTTCGAACGTGGATGGGTCCATTTCTTCGAGTTGTTCATACGCAGCATCAAGCGCCAGCTCGTCCACGTCGTCCGCCATTGAAAGCTGCTCGATATGAGCTTCCAGTTTCGCTACCTTAGCCCGGGCTGAAGCCACAATGAAATCGACCGCATTTGTCTCTGACGGCTCTGCTTCGCCCGAAACAAGGTATATGTCGATGTGTGGTGGTATTTCGATATCACGCGCAGCAATGGATTGAAGGAAGGTTGACTAGGATGGAGTAAGTCACGATTCGGATTTCGAAGACTGTAGACCTTTCCAGAGCCATTTTGTCCTAACAAGCCGTATCTTTGGCCGTAGTTGAGCTGAATTTCGGCGTTTTCGAAGAGCAGTCGACCATGGAAAGACAATGTGTATGCATCGATCTTGATATCTCGCCCTTTCACATCGGAAACAAGTACACCAGCTGCGCTCCTAGAGCAGCTGGGGTTAAAAACACTCAAATGGAAAAGACGATGACAGACCTGTCCGTCGCAATGTTCAGCTTTGCCATAGTCGTAATCGTGAGGTTCTCTTGGCTATTGGCAGCGCTAAGGTTTGTCATTGGCGTGTTGGTGCTACTGCCGTTGCGAGATTGCAGCGTTGAACCTGTGGGGGTGCCGGAGGTCGAATCATCGCCTTTTGGTTCAGCAGCTGCCTTCTTAGCTGCCTTCTCAGCAAGGCGTTTTTGTTTAGAAGCTGAAGGAGGCATCCTATCAAGTTTAAGCAGCGCAAAAATGCAGCTTAGGCTTTCAAGAGGTGGTCTGGGACAAGATTATCTAGATCGAAAAAAAGGTTGAGACATCACTCCATGATTGCATACATAAGCAATATTATTCAATCAATTTTTGATGTGACAAGCTCGGAATCTTACGATTCTGACCTCGTTCGATTCCAGCAGCATGCGAACCGAAATTCCATCTTGTCCGCAAACGCTCATGTCCCAAGACCTTGACCTTGACCCCAGCGACCCTCTGAACCTCTTACTTCATAATCGCTCTCAACATGATGCCCCGACCGATACGGATACGGATTCAGCGGCAACACCACCCGACTGGAGCTCGCTGAACGGAATGTGGACAACTCCGGAGGACCACGTTAAAATGGATGCTACTTTTGACGTTGACTTTGGTGGACTTCTGGACATCTCATTCGATCCCAACGTTGGCATTGAGCCTGCCTCACTCAACTACCAATACACTGCTGAATTCCCCCAGTTCAGCTTTGGCTCCCCCCATCTCAGCTCTGCCGCTTCTTCTGAAAGTGGATCTACAACGGGATCTTTCTCGCCTCATGTGGCTTACTCGCCGCCCTCTTCCGACTTCAACGATGAAGACCCCGCGACCGAGTTGGCTAGCCGTGTTCGAAAGAGTGCGGGAATTATGCTTGCTGTTCAGCTCAATGATCACCATCAACCACATATTCCTATACAGCACCCACAGGCACAAGGGCACCCTTCTCCTGTGTTCACTACGGTGCCAGTGTCTGCTCCCATTCTGGCAGCTGCGCCGACAGCCGCCCAAACGACGACCTCGCGACCCAAGACGAGTCACACTACCATTGAAAGGCGTTATCGCACTAACTTGAATGCACGGATCCAGTCGCTTCGCGCGGCCGTTCCAGCACTACGAGTTGTCGACCGAGCTGCTGCGATCAAGGCAGGAGAAGCTCTCACCGTTGAAGACGGCGAAGATATAGTTGATGCCCGTGGTTATGTTGATGGTGTCAAGGTCGCACGTAAATGCTCAAAGGCCAATGTCCTGGGTAAAGCGGTGGAGTATATCAGAGTTTTGAAAAACCGAGAGCATCGTCTTTCCCGGGAGCTGGCTGGTCTCAAGACTTTACTCGGGGGTCTTGTTGGCGGGAATGAGCTTCTACGGGAATGGGAGCGCGAGTGGACTGCTCGGTTCGGTGGGCCGGAGACAGATGAGGTTGGAGAGAACATTCCTATTGATGAAGAGGCGGATGACGAAGAAGAAGAATCGGATGACGATGGCTCTGGTCGAAAACGCAAGAAACCCAAGGTTTCGATTGAGACAAAGCCCAAAGCCGAACGCAAACAAGTCACACCTGTCGTTGAGGGGGAGAAGAAGAAACGTGGCCGTCCGCGCAAAATTGTGCCTCCTCCATCTATCGAACCTTCACCCGCGCTTTCCACATCGTTACCCCTCAAGCAAGAACCTCACCGCCAGTATCTCTTGGGAGTTTTTGCCTTGTTCTCTTTTTTCGCTAATGCGAATGTTTCCGCTCCCCCTTCACCTCACAATCACACTCATCAAGGTCATGTCTTGAATCAACTCCCTCCCCCAAGCCAGACCTTCGGCCTCCTCCAGCTCTTCCATCTGCTTGTTAGCATAGTCGTGTTGGCAAGCATTCTCATTCCTTTAAGCAGGAGTGCTTACCTACGACTACGACTACGATCTGCCAATACTGTGATTGTTCCCGTCACAGAAAAGGCTCCACCCAGTCCAGCACCTTCAGACGAGACAGACACGGATGAAGCAGGGACAGAACTTTCCTTGTCAAGCATGAGCGGCGATGAGACAGTCCTCGCGCCATCTGGCATTGCACTTGATGCTGAAGCTTGTATCCTTGACCGTATGCTCTCTCTCTCTTCCTCTGCGTCGACATATTTATGCAAACCTTTCTCTTAGGTTCAACCCCATTAACAACTCGAATCCGTACTGCTATCCGTTTATATTCCTCTTCGACACACTCCTCCAACCGTCGTCTGCTAGCCCTCCTCTTGCATCCGGTTCCCGTTATCGGCAAGCTTTTTTCTCAGAGTCTGTGGGACCACAACATTGGGCTTGCTGTTGATGAAGCTGTTCAGCGAGTCAATGCAACACGGCCGACAAGCGGGGTTATACGCAGTCTGGAACAGAGTCTCGCAGTTGACCAGCTTCGCTTCCTCTCAGCGCAGCTGTTCGTGGACGAAGTTTTGGGAAATATTAGTGCGGATTCCGATCAACAGCAGCAGATGCTCGACTCTGTCCAAGCCTTGGGAGGTCCAGTGGCCAGATTAGCTGCCCGTGTTGGACGTGTCATCGGTGGGGGCTCGCCCCTCTTTTCTCCCAACAACGACGAGAGTGAGCATGAAGTAGAGAAGCTTCTTGAGGCTACCGTTCTTTACCGACGTCTTTCATCTGGTGAATCTTTCGGGACTTCAGATGCTTTTCTCTTGAGACAACTTCTTGGGAGCAGTGATGTGTTTGAGCGTGGCGAGGTAGAAGAGGCGAGAGACCGGATCATTGACCTCATTACTGATCAACAGTATATTAAGTAATTCTGTCTTTAATGCATGAGATATAATCGGACGGCTTGGGTGCAAAATTTACAGGTAGCTCTTACGCACTCAGAGTTGTGGTGACCAGATTCCAGAAAACATTTGATCTGGGCAACCAACGCGTCCTGCCGTCTCACCTCCCATCTTGCTCGCCTCTATGGCCTCCTCCCAATCACTATCATCATAGACCACCACTTGACTGAGTGCACCAATTTGCCGTTGCATACGCATAATTCGTTTCCTTTGAGCCGGTCTTGGTGCTGGGGTAGATGTCGCATTCAACGAAGAAGGCGAACTCGAGAAGGGGTCGTGATGATCTGGTGTTTGTCGACTTGATAATGGCGTCGACACCATTGGCGAGGATGAGCGTGCTGGACTTGATGACAGAAAAGTCATTTCAGGCACATCGCGTTGAACGGCGTCTTCGACTTGGTAGGTACTCAGAGGTAACACCGTATTTTTGATGTAAAAATCTCGAAAGGCGTCAGAAACATTCCAGATATCTGCCGAGTTGAATTTGAAGTGATAATTCAGTGGTGGCGGTCCGGTTTCTGGAGAAGCAAAAGGTGGGTCGAGATACGCGTTTCCGAGGGCGATGAATACGAATGGATCACGACCTTTACCTTGGCGGGCTGGCACAGACAAGGTATTGATGGTAATGTGGACTTGAAGAAACGGATTATGGGTCTGGATTACTCATGTCACTTTTGAACAAGAAAAGGAATCATGATACATACGTAGACAAAACCACGGGTCACGTCGAGGCCGTTTGGCCAAATATGAGCTAGGGTAACATCCTCTTCAGCCATCCAACGCCGGTCATCAGCTAGTTCTCCTTCCGCCTCCGCCTCCTCGTCTTCGGTTTGATCAGGAGCATATAGATATGGATCCAGTAGACCTGAAGCAATTGCCCAAGTTGTTCCTTTCTTTATCTGTCCTGGTCGCCTCGACATTGTTATAGCCTTCTTTAACTCGAATTTGTACGGCGATTCCTCGTCATCTTCCACTGCATATGGGTCGATATGGAGCGCCGAGTCGTGTGGTTCAGGGGGGCTGATCCCAAATATGCCACCAAACAACCACCAGACCAGACTGCGAAGATGGACCAGTGTGTAATTTTTTGGGACTTGGACGATACGGTAAACACCTTCCGTTGGCATGACATTGTCCTGCTCAGTCCGGGAGCCACGCCGCACATATTGAAACCGTAGTGTTAGATGTTTTGAGAACGGGGTCGGTGGTGGAAGGTCTTGCATCATTTGCCACGATCGACTCCTTCCGAATGGATTTGACGGTGAATCTGTAGGGGAGAGCCATGAAGCCATCATTTCCGAGCGCGGTGGGTCCGCAACGTGTTGCCGCTTCCTAGGAGCCTCTGGAGACTGGCTACGACAACGTTTCATGGTGCTAAGATGGTGGCAAACAAACAAACGTGAGTGAGTGATCAAACATGTGACCAGATTTATTTCCATCTAGACGCGTCCTGTCACAGTCAGTGTGTTGATATGTCACGCATTTGATCGATTTAGCAACGCAAAGGTGATCCCCAGGATCCACCGACTTAGTGAACGCCGTTTGGCGTAGCTCGCGATTCCTGTAATGTGAGGTTGACGAACTAGAAATCTTGCCATAGCTGACTTGTAAGGTTTTGCAGAAAAGCGAGTATTTGTATGATTGTAAGTTGGTATAAACAATGTGTCCGTGCGATACGATAGCAAAAGGGCGGACGTCTGAATATTTACCGATTGTAGATGTAGAACCCGTTGATTTCCCAATGAGCCCCATCCCCAAACTTAGAGCCGTGGTTGAGAACGAAATCTGCGGCAGTGTTGACGCCAGTTTGCTTCTTGCAGCTCGTCTGCTGACCACCAGCGCCATCAACACCCCAAACACCCTCGGTGAATGTTCCACCAAGGTTAGTGTCTACGACCATCATAAGATCATGGAAGAATTTGGTCGGGTCGCAGGTAGAGGGGGAGATCGCCATCTTGGGAGCGCCCCAACTGCTAGGCGCGGGTGCCTGACTGGTTATGTCACCAGGAACGCTGCCCGCCTGGAAGAACCACATTTTGATTCCATCGGTATCAAATTGTAGGGCAAAGACTCCCCCACCAGCAGCGTTGAAACCGGGCCCGAAGGTCGCAGCAGAGTTGTCACTGAAACCGCATGCGCCAGGATCCGTCGTAGCATCTGGCCACGTTCATCAACATTCTGAGCAACACAAGTAAAGAGAACTCACCGCAACTGAAACCTGTTGCTTCCAGAAGAGTGACCTTGGACATAGACTTGACTGCCGAGTCAGAGACCGAGCAACCAGAGCCGGTGTGAACAGAGTAGATATTCTTGTTATACGCGTTCACGCCTGCAGAGAAGGTCAATGAATGTCTGCAGATGTTCACAGGGATCACCTTCAACTACGTCTATCTCACCATCTACCATAGAATTTTCAGTTTCAAATTCCACACACTCACACGCACGACTGCTAACGCACCATATGGCCAATTCGCGCCAGTGAACCAGACAGCAGGCCAGGTGCCACATACTGATGGCATAGATTTGATGTCAAATACTACAGTGCGGATTAAGATTCGAAAGACCAAGTCGAGACTTGAATGAACGCACCAAAGAGATTCTGGTCCTTGGCATTATAGGTCTTCTTCGAAACCATCCTAAGCGATTTACGGCTAGAGACTTTCTCCTCGGTATCCACACTTAAAATGACCTTCCCATTCGAAGTATACGCTAAGCCTTCCTTGACGCCGTTCACGTAGTTGGCGACTCCATTGTTATCGCCAGTTCCAGAATCACTGGATGGATATAAAATCTGAGTTGATGAAAATACTCTTGACTGACTAGTTGAAGAAGTCGAGGAATGCCTGTCCCTCAAGCTTATTGGTCAATTTATAGCCTTCGGAGGAAGGACCCGCTAAAGCAATCATGAATCGACTGCCTGATGAAGCATAGAGGCTTACACGGAGACGTTGGCTTGGAAGGTTTGGCGGTGGATACTGGGGCACTGGCAGTGGATTTGGCTTTGGAAGGAGCAATCGTCTGCGGAGGTACTTCCTCGACGGTGGACGTGATCACCGTTTTACCGTCCTGAGGGCCTGAGTCGGAGCCGGACGAAGATGAGTCGGAGGCGAAAGAAGAGGAACCAGACTTGGAATTGCCCGAAGTGAAAGACCATGTCACGTCCACTAAGTACAATAGTAGATCAATCTTGTGTGGCGATGCAAGAGAAATTTGATAGTGACGCACAAACTCCAGCATCAAGCGAGCCGCCGTTTAGGGCAGTGAAAGCAGCAGTGGACAAATAAACTGAGCCGTCTGCCCCACAATCTTTGCACACATCGGTGAGAGTCACGTCGATGGATTTGGTGGGGTCGGAGGCAAGAGCGACGGAGATCTTGTGGCAATCAGCTGCAGATAGTTGGAGGCGAGGGAAACATACGTGTTGGAAGCATTTGTCAGAGACGGTGTTGATATCGCCGTAGTATTTGGCCCCGACTCCAATGATCATGTCGGCGTCGGCGGAGTAAGTCCCACAGGCATTCATGGTATTATTCTGGTAGCCGTAGTAGGCAGTTCCAGAAATGCTCTCCGCTCGCTTAGTCGCAGCAACACGAGCATGCTGAGGCACCCGTTTGAATGAGTTGTGAGTAGCGCTAGCAGAGACAACAAGGGTTGCCAGTACGCCCAAAGATCTAGCTGAGGGCATGATAATAGGTGATAAGTGGGTCGTAGCGAATGTGTTATTCCAAAGAGCGAAAGGAGGACTGAAGTCTGAGTGTCGTGGAGGGAGTTGGGTGAAAAAGCTGGCTCTAGTAACACTGCCACCCTTTTATGCGCAGCATTGCTGCCGTTATATGGTTCTTTGTTGCGTTCACAATTCTTCTGTTCCGAGTTCACACAGCAGGAAATTATGCGGTGGCCTTGCCTGCGCCCCGATTCAGTCGATAATGCTGATTTTCTTGGACCTGAGGCTGTAGAAAGTTTTCGCCCTTGACTTTCCATCGCCCAAGGCGTTCAAGGCAAGCTGTCGTTGGACCGCGAAATACATATAAGTGATGGAAAGAGAGGACTTGGATAAAAATAAAGCTCCCATCAATCACATTGATTGCCGGCCATGGTGACGCATTCTCTTCACTCTTCTTCACTTCAACAGTACTTAGTCTCTCAAAAAAATGTGCAAACGCCAAGGCCAAGGCCAGCATGAGTCACAGTGAAATGCCGTCGCCATTCAATATTCAATGACTATCCGTCAACAACCACATCATCACCGTCCCAGGCCGATAACAAACCTTATAACTTCCTGACTGATCATGAAGCGTCACTCGTACGCGTGCTTGGTGCAGCAAGCAAACCAGCCCGCATCCACCCCTCTTCAGAACAGAACCGCCATGGCGACTCCCAATATTGCTGAATTGGTGATACGCGAGGTGCGCCAGGCGCCTATGTGTCCATAGTCGCCAATTCTGAAGCATCTTTGGTGTAGATTTCGCCCGTTATCACCATATTCTCCAAGTACTTTCTCTTCTACGGCTCTCTCAAAATTCTAAGTCAACAATGCTAGACCGTTCTCTCGATTTGGTCTTCTGCCTTTTGGTGGCCGCTCTACAGCAGTCAAGCTTTCAACTGGCGACGTTTGGGTTCTTGCTTCCACACCGCTGACCGAAGACACAAAAGCTACCATTGACAAACTAGGGCCTGTCAAGTCTGCAATGCTTCATACCTTCTATTCCTCTTGTTGACTGCCAGTGGTATATAGATGGATCATCGGCGCGGATGCTGTACACCATTTGTACCTGGGTGTGCAATCCCGTCATTCCTAGTCCCCGTATTCATGACCGCAGGTCAATTCAAAACGGTATATCCGGATGCCAAAGTGATCGGTGTGGCTGCCCTGGTATCGAAAAAAGCCAAGGAAGGTTTAGTTCTTGATGGAGGTCTGTGCGTTCGCTCTACTTCAAGTTAGAGCTGACATAGAAACGTAGTCTATGGCGCCGATCCAGTTGAAGCCAAATATGGTTTCGAAGAGGAGGTAGGATTCAAACTGGATGGGAAGTGTTTATCTTCATCGGTGGATAGATATATGCTTGGTGAGACCAGAAAATAATCGCATGCACACGCTCACACTCGGCAGCTACTTCGATGGATTCGCTAACAAGGACATCGCATTCTTCCATGTCGCCTCGAGGACCCTTATCGTTGCTGATCTTCTGTTCAACCTCCCTGGCACGGAACAGTACAGCAAGGCACCTCGACCATCCAAATCCCATGTTCCTCTCGTTGGCAAGATAGAACCATTTGGCAGCTTGCATAAGCGATTTGTCTGGAGTCAGGGAAAGGATAAGAAGTAAGATAGTTTTCATAACATGGAAGCAGCACTTTGACCATTCATAGGGCCATGGCCAGAGATGCAAAAACAGTGCTTGAATGGGCTCCCGAACGAGTGATCATGTGCCATGGCGTGAGTTATGATCGTGTTGGATATCGAATTGCTTAGCTGTGTGCTTAGGATGTCATTGAAACGAGTGGAACAGAGGCGTGGGCTGCTGCGTATAGCAAATATCTGGCTTAAAATGGTCGTGGTCTATAGGTCATTAAACTATATATGGAAAGGAAAGGAAATTTCCATCCTCGTGTTCGTCATTTGTGTATCGTGATCATGTGACGACAAATTCGACTCGTCAATTCTCATTCTCGTTCTCCAGAATCCATATGCTAATTTTTGTGAGTGACAGTCCTATGTCGACCGTGGTTTGAATATTCCAAAGAAGCGACCCCGTTGTTCTTTCTTCGCCAATGCCGCTCGTGCATCCCTTTCCGCCTCCTCATCCGTTATGCTACCACCTAGCGCGTACCAAACGACAGTCAGCATTCCTAAATCAACCAGTTCAGTCAATCGCCTCAATCCAAGATGGCAACGGGCTGACCAAGAACGGCGGTCAAGACACATCCAGCCATGGCACCAATCCCCTTTGAATGCCACCCGTTGTTCTGTGGGAATGGTCCAAGATGCAAACCAGAAAGATCTTCCGTTCCTGAATGGCCTGCCGCATTACCAGAGATTGGCAACCCCAACGCTTTGCAGTTGTCCTGTATTGCATGCCTTTTGAATGATCCAATTCTACTCTCACAACTCAACCCATACCTGGATGAATGAAGGGACTTTTGACGCAAACTGTTGTGCCTGTATTGGGGCTTCAACAAGTTGGATAGCCAATCCGACCTCTAAATGCCACTCGATGTGACAATGGAAGAGCCACACGCCCGGGTTGTCGGCGATGAATCGTAACGTTGCGCTCCCCCCACTCGTGATCTGGATTGTGTCGCGACGGAGTGGATTCGTTTGGTTGGCCAAGGTAATGACGGACGGGTCACTCGAAGCATAGTCAGACGAGCGGGCGACGATCTGGTATTTGTGGCCGTGAATGTGGCTGCAAGAATGTCAACGACCAGACAGTCAGCGGATAGACACAAGCTCACAAAGGATGTTTCCCTGCATCTCCATTCTTAACGACGAGGTCCACGACGTCCATATGGTTGAGAACAAAGCTCAGGGGGCCATATGCCTTCTCCACAGTTGCATCTTGGCCAAGTGTGAGAGCGCTGAGGATGGCGGGGGTCAACGGAGGGTTGTAGGTGACGAGATTGAACATAGCGTGGTTTGTGCCGTCGTCCATAGTATCGAAGAGGACCTAACATGCTCGTTTCAGTGCGGTCCATTGAACACAGGAAAACTCACCTCAAGTTCTATCGTTTTATCGGCCTTTGAAGGAGCCGGCACAACCTGAACTGGGACCATACTGATGTCGTTAACATCGCCGTACGCTGCAATCGTCCCAAGGTTGGTCAACGAAGCCGAGTTGGAGTAGGTGATGGACGCCGTTGAGTCTACAACGATCATTAAACCCCGCTCAAATGCCAACGGGCTGTAGACTTACTCGGGTTCAGAGAATCAGGAACTGTATCAAACATGTCAGTGTCCATGTTCGCGTGGACAGCCCAGTTCGCGTTGGTGTCGTTACGAGCAGTTACCAGAATGGAGTATCGCTGCGCGACTGTAAGGGTTACCAAATCTATCGGGAACTCTTCAATGTCAGTGCCGTCAACCTATAACATCTGGTCAACGCGGAACAACTAACATCGTTGTAGATACCTCAATGACTCGCATATCATGGCCATCGATCCAGAAGAAGAACATAGCAAAGGCGGAAGTGTTGACAATGCGCAAACGATAGGTCTTGCCAGGCTGGAATGGCAGAGTTGCATTTTCGTTGAATCCAACCGACGTTCCCGACTGAGGCAAGGTGCCACTTTTGGGTCCAAGATATGCCCCGTTTTGAGCGAAATAGATCAAACCGGAATCTAAGGAAGAAAGGTTAGCATCTTCGATTGTGTGTGTGTGATACCGAAAACTTGCCGGGGACAGGTTCTGCACCACCAGGATTGGCGATGCTAACAAACTGCTTCATAAGAACACTATGGTCGTCGTGATACCAGTCTCCCAGTATAACGGTGAACTCTTCGTCGTATTTGTGGACCTCCTTGTTGGGACGAATCACGAACGGGGCACGCAGACCATCGACATATTGGCCAGAGGAATGGGCATGAACCCAGTAAGTACCCCATTGACCACTGCCGGGGATGTCGATTGAATATGATGCGCCCGCATTTTTCCCAAATCCACACTCTGTCACGCCGACCTAGCGAAATTTTGTCAAATGGCAGGCAGGCTGAGCAAACTGTTGGAACCAACCGCTCCGTCGTTCCATGAAGACGCGTTGAAAAACATGCCATGGTGATGAATTGAGGAGACGGTATCGAGAGAATTGATGGCGTGGAGGATGTACGAGTCGTTGGTGGACACATCAATGGGCGGGGGTGGCCAGGTGCCATTCACTCCAATCACACGACGAGGTTTGAGGCCGTCGGGGTTAACGTTTTCGACGTAGGTGAGGTTCCACCAGAGCTCATGGACAGCTGCGAGGGCAGGAGAGGCGGCGACAAGAAGATGGAGCAGGCACCTCATGGTTTCCGAAGAAGGAGGAATGGAGGTGAGGCTTTTTTACTGACACTATATCTCCCTATCTGATATGCCGGTCTAGATCTATTTACCGCGTGTGTGTGGGAACGAAAGAAGACAAGTTTCAACTCATGGAGATAAATCTTATCAGATTTCCCGAATTACCGGCAACGTTGTCACACTTTATATCCTTCCTGGCCATGCGGAACTGCTAGTCTTGTTTCCCCCCCCCTCTACACCCATGGGCAAAAACTTGTTCTCCATCCCGATTTTCTTCATCGTCTTCCGCGAGACCCTTGAGGCGTCAATTATCGTCTCTGTTCTACTCGGTCTTGCTGAACAGATCGTGTATGAGGGGCCTGGCCGGCTCGCTAACACGGCTCCCAGCCATGCCTCTTCTGATGACAGCAAGGAGGAAGTCACGACCAATGACCCCGAGGACGACCCCGCACAACGTCGCGCTATCATTCGCAAGCTCCGCATCCAAATTTTCGCTGGTGCTGCGCTCGGCTTGCTACTCGCTCTAGCCATTGGGGCTGCCTTCATTGCGGTGTGGTTCACCCAGGCCTCGGACCTTTGGGCAAAATCAGAGGCGCTCTGGGAAGGTATGTCGACAGCAATGCCCTTCACCATTAACCAACTTGAAATAGGCATTTTCATGCTCATCGCATCTCTAATGATATTCGTTATGGGGGTCACTATGCTCCGTATGGACCGAGCCAAGGCCAAGTGGCGCGTCAAGCTCGAGCGTGCCTTCTCCAAAAAGGCCCATACCGATGGGTCAACCAAAGTCGGACGTTGGGCTCTATTCGTTCTCCCCCTTATCACCGTACTTCGAGAGGGCATGGAAGCCGTCGTATTCGTTGGAGGCGTGTCTCTGGGCCAGCCCGCGACCTCTATTCCAATTGCCACTATCGTTGGACTTATTTGTGGCTTGATTATCGGCTTCCTCGTCTACACTTTCGCGTCCCGGACAACCCTCACTATCTTCCTCGTTGCCATGACCAATCTTCTCCTTCTCATCGGTGCCGGACTCTTTTCCCGTGCGGTTTGGGCCTTTGAAGAGAATGCGTTCAACAAATTGCTGGGTGCAGACGTTGATGATGCTGGCGGCAACGGACCAGGCAGTTTCCGCGTTCAAGGCAACGTGTGGCATCTCAATTGCTGCAATCCTGAGGATAACCTCGACGGTCAAGGCTGGAGCGTCTTCAATGCCCTATTCGGATGGACAAACAGTGCTTCGCGTATGTTAAACTGCTTGCATTCACCTCCTCCTATTAATATATCACATTAGTTGGATCGGTCCTGTCCTACGTCTTTTACTGGCTGGCAGTTATTGTGACGCTTGTGGTGATGAAATTCCGCGAGGGCCGTACTACAATGTTTGGCAAAGAGTCGGAAGCCGGCGCTCGGCGTCGTATCGCTAGGGAGCGTACAGCAGCAGCAGCAGCAGAGCAGTCAGTGACCGAGGAGTCAAAATAATCTTGGGGAGTCAAAAATCTTACGTTGTCGGCTTAGGTAGTTCCAAATGTTGAATATGCTCCTTTCGCTCTCTGAATCGCGTTCCGATCTGGCTCGAGAAACGGTGACTCTGACTGAGTGAACCACTTTTGCCGCGTATCTCGTCTTGTCACAAATGATATCCTACGATACGACTTCTGAAACATGCCGCGGGGAACGGGTAAAAAGAACTTGACTTCATCAGGAGCAACGTCGGCAAAGAAGAGTAACAATCAGATAAGATGCACTCAGGGTGAGAAAGTTGATCCGACTCGGAGAGCGTTGCGATAAGAAAGAACCTCCACAGTCATCATATCAGATTACAGTGTGTGTCACACGTCGGCAAAAAGAAAAAAAAAACATATGGCTCACCGTTGCCGTAGACCCACAGTGAAGGTCCTGGATCCGAGTCGGTATGTAATCTTGGCCAACGAGAAATCAAAACGCTTGCTTGCTCGAAGCATTAATGTTCCTACAAAGACACACGAGCGCTTCTTGCCTCGTATAATAATATACCCGTGGTCATGAGTGGCTATTATAATCATGCCCCAACAACTTCTCTCCCTGTGTACTTATGGAGCCAGCACTGTGCGGATTCGCAGATCTAGATCATCATCAGCTTGCGTTAACGTCGTTCAAGGACTTCAAGTCCGTTCGGGCACGTGCAGAGCTCTGTCAACTTGTCAAACGGTGCCCGCCCGACAGACCAAAGGTGGCGTTGGAGGCACAATAACGAGAACAGGTACATACTTCTTGTGTACAACGATGGCTCGCTCAGGACGAAGGCCAAATAAAGCGAAATTGAAAAAAAAAGTTCAAAGAGGCGCAATGGAGTGATTCCGATTTGAACCCTCACCTACAAGTACAGCTACGGCCAGGACGATGTTGAATGTCCGTTATGTATTTAACCAACCGATGGCCGAGAATGTTGAATCTTCTTTTCCCTTGTGCCCAGTTCACTCGACAATCCCTTCAGGCTTCGTCAATGTCGACACATCGACACCAGGCAACGGCCACTTCATCGCGAAGTTCTGGACCTCTTCCCGCAGTTCCTTCACCTTAACATAGCCCTCTTTTCCCTCAGTTTGCACGGTTGCGACACGAACAAAGTCCTTGAGCATCTTTGTGCCAGCCTCCTTCTGGAGCAATAGAGAAAGTTGAACAGCGCGATGGAGGAAATCGGCCACAATCTTTACGTCAGATTCGAGCATGTTACGAGAGGTGATGGCCGATGTGCCTAGGCGGATACCACCAGGTACCTGGGCTGAGGCGTCACCAGAAACTGCATTCTCTAAAGCTGGCATCAGCGAAGAGTTAGACGGATACAGACCAAAATGCATACTGTTGATCGTAATGCCCATCAGATCGCAAACCTTTTCAACCTTGCTCCCTGTCAAACCCAGTGGTCTGAGATCCCAAAGAACGAGATGATTATCTGTTCCACCAGTTTGCAGTTTGTAGCCGTGTCCAACAAGCTCGCTCGCCAAGGTTCGAGCGTTCTCGATGACCTGTTTTGCGTACGCTTTGAAGCTCGGCTGCGACACTTGTAACAAGGCGGTTGCAATGGCTGCGATGGTATTATTATGAGGCCCGCCCTGGCATGCCGGGAAGACGGCATCGTTAACACGCTTTTCCAGATCCTTGGCTTCGGGGTGGTCGATACGGAAAAAAAATGAGACCAGCGCGGGGGCCACGAAGAGTTTTATGTGTAGTGGTCGTGACCACGTCGCAGTAATCGAAGGGGTTGTTGAGTGTACCAGCCGCGACAAGGCCACTCGTGTGCGCAATATCTGCCATAAGGAAAGATCCAACAGCTTCAGACGTCTTTTTGAGCGAAGCATAGTCCCAGTCTCGTGGATATGCAGAGGCGCCGCAAATAATGAGCTTAGGCCTGAATATCTTGGCTTGGGCAGCAAGACCTTCATAGTCGATGAGGTTGGTGTCGGGCGTAATGCCGTACGGAACCGGTTGGAAATAAATCGACGATGCCGTCATCTTCTTTTTGGCAGTCTACAACCTCCTGAATCAGTACACCAAGTGAGTGGATGAAATCGACAGACATAGTAGCCGTGGGTGAGATGACCACCATCGGGAAGACCAAGCCCCATAAGTCTGTCTTGGGGTTGTATAAGAGCAGTGAGAGCTGCGAAACTATTGACCAGTTCAGTGCGATGAACATGAAATGCAAGGGGAATACTTTGCGGTCTACAAGAACAGAGTCAGTGGAGGAGTTGTAATTAGCAGTGAGGGTGGCGTACGCTTCCTGAATAAGGCTGTACATTAACACCCCACTTGGCCGGGTCAAGGTTGAAGGCTTTCAGTGCCCGCTTGCGACAGAGAACCTCCAGCTCATCGATATACTCGTTCCCACCGTAATAACGCGCCGCTGGAAGGCCTTCAGAGTACTTGTTGGTGAGAATTGAGCCATTCGCCTCCATCGTCGACACACTCGTCAGGTTCTAGTTGCCTTACTTAGCACGAGGCTGCATCGATCTGGTTAAGTTCGCAAACCTCGGACGCGATGAGCTCGAGACCAGTGAACTGCCGCCATGTCTCCTTGTCAATGATGTTCTTCACTTCAGGGTCAATCTCCGCCAGAGGCGCGTACAGAGGCTTGTTCTATCCATCCATAGACGTCAACAGCGCGGAAAACATGGTTAGAAAAGACGACGAACAAAATCTGGCGTATTGGCAGTAGCCATCGTGCGAGGTCGAAGACGAACAACAGGCGACAAAGTGGGAACACGAAGGGGTCGAGTCAAGAGACGAAACATCCTCATTGAAAAAAGACGGCCATCAAACAGCAGAGGTGATGCGATTCGGGAAAATCCGTGACAGCTCAAACCGAGATCATCCGAACACCCTCAGTCCAAATACACCTTGTACGCTTCCAACCACGCCTCCTTACCCCCAGTCTCAATAACATCGCCATGGCATGGAATAATGCGAGCGAAGTCCCAGCCTGCCACGGTCCTGACGTCGCGCTTCATAGCACTACGAATTGTGCAGTGAGAATCTCCGTGCCAATGACCTCTTACGCCTTATCCTCGCCCATTGCGGAGGCAAACTTCTGTGTCAACCAGGAGTAGGGCCCGAAACTGCCCAAGAGCGGCAAAGAGCCGGATGATTTGGTCTTGGAGTACTGCAAACGTTTCAAGATCGAGTAGAAATATCATGCAAAACTCGCCTGCTCGGTGCAAGGAAGGTTAAACAACAGATCTGCCTCGATCTTACCTATTTTTTAGTGTGTAAGAAAGCCATAACACCGACACACCATAGTCTTCGACGCGAGATGGAAAAAAGCGACTATCAGCGCCGATGTAAGACCAAATCGAAAGAATACAAGTTTGGCTCACCGTCCTTGTTCTTAAACCCGCTAAAGTAGCAAGCCTTGATCTAGACAAAGTACTTAGGTTGCTACGTTATTAATAAGCCCAAGTACTCACATCATCTTCGAAGCCATATATAGTCTCTGGCGGATCCCGTCCCCAGACACCGTCGAATTGCAACGACTTATCGTTAGTGCGCTCTAGGACGGCTGCTGGCGCAATAAGTTTCGCAGACGGATATGCACGTTTGAATTCGCCTAGTCCAAGAAAAGTTGGAGGAGAGATTGAGCGATTTTATCAGTAACGCACCCAAAAACAGATGATGAACGGCATCTGCGCCGACGATATACCTCGCAATAGTCAAGTTGACTTCTTATGGAGACGCGAAACACACTGGACTGGCCCCAGTTCATCGATTTTCGCTTTGGTATCCGCATCCAAAGTGGTAGAAGCTAGAACCCAAACCCCGCCGTTGCGTAACTTGATCGCAGTCGAGCGCCCGCCGATAGGTAGAATTCCAAAACGAGAAAATGGGCGGGAGAACGTCCATATGCTTTGTGTTATCTGCCATTAAATTTCAGCCACGTGTTTCTGCAACTCTGACACATACTTCACGCAGAACTGTGCAGTTTTCCATGGCGAGAGGGCCGAGTGTATAATTAGAAGAATGTGACTCGGACTCGCTGAAGTCACGCACATTCTTCTTGAAAAGTGGAACTCCTGATCGCAGTATGTATTAGCAATAAAGACAACGAAGCGGAAGATTGTACAAAGAATACCAAGATTCTGGGTGTTTCAGCCCAGATTGGGGGAAGTAAATTGCGATCACGTGATGCCGTTAGACGCGTCGAAAAGAGCTGACCGGAACCATATTGCGCAGCTTGATTGTCCCACACGCGCTCAAAGCCTAAATATTTACTGATTGAATAGCCACGAGTGGCAGGATGGATAATTATTGGTCCCGGAGGCATTTAACAGACTCCTTGCTCCGCCGATACAACTGTGAATAAAACTACAAAGTTCAGTGGAGCTTGGCAGCGCCTTTCCCCCACCATGGCCATGGCTGCCAAAGTACATTTCCACCTCACCCATATCTCAATGTTGATAACCCTCAGCATCCAACACGCGGCCACTACACAAAGTGCCCAGCGTGCCCAACTGACTCAGCATCCATCAAGCGTGACGACCTCGAAACAGTTCGTTCACTACCTTTCAGCGCAAATTTCCATCTGACTGACCAACCTGAAGCACATCTTGAATTTTCACTTTAGTTGTTCAACATGCAAACCACGTCAAATGTTTGCAACACAAGCTTCTCTTGACGACCACTATCGCGGGAAGCCTAGTCATCCCAACTGCCCACGCTGCAATAAAGGGTTCCCGGACAAGTCAGCTGTCGAAGTGGTGAGCACTTCGATATTCAGCATTCAATTATGTGATGCTTTACACAGCACTTTGCTATAGCACATCGAAAAGAGAAGTGTGACTGTGGCTTGGAGGTCTACGAAGAAGATCTGAGCGGCCATTTCCTCCATTCCCCCTTGCATCCTGTGTGCCCCATCTGCACGGAAGGTTTCAAGACCCAGTCCGATTACTCGTCGGTGCGTCATTAATACTCGGCCCGGCAAGTACTAACTTCGAAGGTAGCATTGCAAAGAACTGCACCCAGAACATTACTGCGAGCCATGCTCGATGCAGTTGTTCTCCGACGAGCACCAGCAAGCCCATTGGAAAGAGTCCATCGTTCATCCCAAGTGTGCTAAGCTATGCGGGATTGGTTTCGCCAATATTGCGGCCTTCAATGAGGTTTTCCCAGCATCCTCTTTGATGTTTTTCTCAACGTTTGCTTGTAGCATATGATAAAGGAGCACGGAGATGTCCTTCGCAGGGTTGGCTGGACGTCCAGATCTACAGACCCACAGACTGCCTTGCCACATCCTAGTGCCGATACAAATAAGATGTGGTCTTCTACAAAGGTAAGCCCAACGTACGACGGATTCGGCTCAAATGTTACAGAATCACAATTCTACCATGGAGTGGACGGTTTGTATCAGCATTGTTAACTCCCATACGAACTCATGTGGAGTACTACAGTCCACCCAGCATCCAGATTCATCGGGAACTCCTGCTGCATTAGGCAAGCACGGGGTTGATCCACGCTTCTCTCAGGTATCTTCTTTCTGTCTTCCTTGGTTCTTTCGCTGAACATCATGCAGGCAACACCCAGAGCTCATCGCGATCCTGCTGTAAGCATGCCTGCGCGTGCCCCATCTCAAGTTGAATGCGCAGCCAACGGGACTATCCATCGTCTTCCGTCTACCTGGAGCGTGGAGTCAGTCGCCAACGCGGCTCGGCTACACTCCCATAGCACAGAAGCTCCCAGCTCTTCTTCCTCGCAGAGTTCCACGGGCTGGAGTCGTCTCTCTGGCGGCTGTGATGTCACTGCTGGACGGTACATATGCCAAACATTATCTTGAATCAACTGATTCCTTGCACCAGACGTGCCCCTGCTCAGTTCGAATGCCCCCACTGCCTGAACTTGCTCGTTGTTGCCACTGCCAGTGTGAGATAGGTTTTGTTGGAAGAAGGGAAAAAAGTTCAAGTTTGCTCTGAGCTACCTGTGTTCGCTTTATGCTGTTGACTGTGTTTGCGTATTGCTTTGCTGTGTTGTTTGTTGAGATTACTGAATATAACTAGGATAGGTATGTACACGAATAGGTAGCAATTAAAGATTGAGCGTCCGAAACTATGCTGCAAACTTGGTAGCGAGTGCGGTGAGCGATGGCGAGAAGAAGTACTCCCCTCCGCGGGAGACTATAAAGTCTGGGTCCTATTAGCATTGCGGGGGGGTGAGACAAGGAAGTTAATCACCAGTCTCAATTGTAACGCTACGAGTAGCATTCGTGGGATCCAAGCCATTAACAATTCGAGGGGAACCAGCGTTCGCACCTAGGGCAATAAGTCTCAAAATCTTGGGAATTGGAGGGAGTACTCACCGATGATGGGGTCAAATCCTACATTTCCTTGAACAAAGCTGGGCATGGTCAGAGCGTTCTGGACACGTGCTTGTGTGGAACCCACTCAATATTATCAGCCCAGAAACGTTGGAGGAACTGGAAGCCTGCGAGGATATTGGACTGATAGGCGACTGCTCAACTATGAGCATAGTTGGAAATCGTGTGGCAGTTGACAAACCAAATGCAAGCCCGCGCTCTGTCTGCGTCTTGTTCGCCTTTGCCTCCGCAGCGCTCACTTTGGAATGTATTAGACCGACGGGTTAGGAGCCGGCAACAATGGTACCTTCCGGACCATAAGGAATCCCCCCACGAACGATGTGATGGTTGCTTGACTGCTGATTTTCAGGCAAACCCAAATCCGCTCTTGGCCTCGTTTTCCTGATATGTGCAGCGAAGGCACACTGAATAACTCGTTTGAAACTACCCGTGTGCGATGAAGAAACAAACCTTGGTCTGATCCGCTGGATCAGAGAACGTTTGACCCGGTTTGGCGTAAGTGAAATTGTTGTTCCTATGAGGGTCTGCACCAAGGTTTGGGTCGTCCACGAGCGGAGAGAGGAACACCGGCGCGCCGCTCTTCCAGCGTCCGACCATGCGGGCACCCATCAAGTCAGAGCCTTGCTGTCGCGTCAACTTGCCTGTGCGAATTGGGTTGTCCGCCAAGAATTTGTTGAACTCGGGGACGAGCTGCTTGAGCTGGCGAAACGCGAGGAAGGACCCGTCTTTAGCCCAACTAGGACGACTGGCTTGGAGTGAGTCGCCGGATTCACCGACCAGAATTTCCCCGGGCGGGACGACAGCTTGACCGGGGAGCGGAGTTTGGAAACCTTCAACAGCAGGGTTGGAGATACCATCTATGTAGAGTAAATCAGTGATCTCTATGTAAAAAAGACAGAAATATTTCTGACCAAGAAACCCAAAGTCTGGTGAAGAGTCATCAGTAGAAGATGCAAAAGAAAACGAGGAGCTCACGCTCATGGCCTTGTTCAGATCCAGGACGAGCAGCACCTTCCAAGCGATACAATTCCTTCACACAATTGCATTTCGCCAGTTGGTTCTTGATGGCAGTCAATTCAGACTCGCACTTGTCAAGCGTGTCGCTCGCAAGGAGTAGTACACCATGAATTGACGTCCCAATGAACTGCTTGACCCAGTTTGTGGTACCTGGATCTCCTAGGTTCGCGGCGTTGGCAAACTGGCCTTGACTGAATGCTGAATCACCGAGATTATCGGTGATATTCAGAGCTTTGAGCCCAGTCTGCGAAAACGCGATGTTGAGAGCTGTGTTAGGCTGTTTGGAGACATCGAGGAGTTGCGTAGTAGTTGTGACACGGGGAAGAATAACCGACTTCAGAGAGGACTTGAACTTGGCTCCATCAGTGATGCCGAAAAAGAAGAAAAGTTCTTTGTTCTTCTTCATTCCGATCCTGCTTTGAAATCAGACATGGAACTCCAAAAAATCATTCAAAGGAAACAGACAAGACATCGCCTTGAATATTGGTGAGATTGAGGCCAACGGTGCTGGCAGCAGCAGTGGCGGCACCAATGGAAGGAAGAGACGGTTGGGCAGCAGGATCTAAACAAGAGTCAGGGAACGTAGGACGTGGTCGGGGAGATTGACCAATAAGGATAGAAGCATCACGGCGCTGCACAGAAAGTGGTTCGGCAGAAACAAATTGGGCGGACCAAAGAGCCAAACTAAAGAGAGGTGAAGTGAAAGAATAGGTCTTCATCGGAAGTAAAAGTGTGGATGAGATGGGTTGGAAGGACAATTTCTTCCTCTTTTATAGAGCTAGCCACCTCTTGCTGTGCCTGTCTGCCACTCGGAGCAACCCAACGACGGGAAGGGACCGTCGATATCCGCAGAGTCAAACAGGTACCAATACTGCGAAAACGCCGGAGTAATCCAAAGTCAACAATCTTGTCGTTTAATGTGGAATGAAGGCATAGGTAAGAAGTGAACGGGCGGCAATCTGAATGTACTGTTGGCAGCAGACCCGGGTCTGCATTGAAAATTTGAGCCTTCAAGAGTAAAGACACTCGGCGAGACGCCGATATCTAATGCAGCCCGAGTTGCCAAGGAATCTGAATGGAGTCTTTGATTGCCAGAGCTGCAAATGATTTTGACCGAGATCTGCGAAGGAGTAGAATTGGACCTTGGTACCCTAGAAAGGAGTAGAAACGATGAATGCGATTCTGTAAAAAGTCAACAAGTATCCTCAATAGACCAGTTGGAAACTATGATCAACGAGTCATGGTGTTTCAACCGGTGAAACATTGGCGGCCGCCACTGCCCGACGAGTTTGTACGAATGCTCTATAGCGATCCGTACCGCAGACATGGACCGCCCCGCCACAATATTAATACTGAGGTAAGGCTGCGGACAAGGAGTGGACGAGTATTGCCAGAGTCAAGGGTGACAAGCAGTTGTAAACTGAAAGGTTGTTCGATTTTTTGATTGGTCCGTCCCAATCCCATTTTCAATGGACAGCCCAGTGCGACAATTATTATTGCTCTTGGGAGAAATCTGGAAAACTAGCGCAAGACGAGTTTGAGGATAAGAAAGTAGGGAATCTTGCGTACTTAAACAGGCCACGAGCGATTGCACAATTGGTGAGAACCCAAGGGAGCGTTGAGCAACGGCCGCAAGATGTCCGTGACGTGACGGTCGCTGCTGGTCCTGTGGGCGCTAAATGATATATGGTGGTATATTTGCGATTATTGGTTCGAAGTAGAACAGGCGAGGAGCAACACTGAGAATTGATTACTGAGCTGGCGACATGAATTGACTGGGCAAGTAGGCAATGAATCAAATGATGACTCATCCGAGTTGTCTAATATCCATCTGATAGCGCAGACACCAACTTCTACAAAGGAGAAACTTGTTTAAGCAACTCTACGGCATGCCGGGCCGACCCCCACGACGATTGATATCCGCCTCCGCCATGGCTAGGAAGGAGTGAGACCAATTTTTTTTTGATTGGAGTGGACGAACCCGTAGTTGTGGATGACGGGTACTCGCCGACCATCGACATCTGTACTCGGTTACATACTCCGTGCTAGAGTGCTGTTCTCAACGCGCACCAATTTCATCGGTTTCCAACCTAACGCTCCCTGTTCTTGCTGGTCTGAAGCCCACGCACTCTGCAATCACCTCCAAGTCGTTGATGCCCCCGTGCTGCCGCTTCTCCGGGTGCAAAATTTCTGGATATGCTTGTACAATCCTTTCCTTAATGGCTCTGACTGTATCTGGTCTATTTACCGGGTGCATATCACCGACCTGGAACGTTCCCCCAACCACGACGTCCCCGCTTTGTCTTGGAATAATGTATGATATCTCCGAGTTGTTGAAGTGGAAGGTGATGCTTGGGTTGACCCATGGTGCACGTATGATCAGTGTTTCTCCTCGAATAGGATGCACCTGTGTGTCTGCGGCCAGTCCAAATTGAAAAGAGCTTGAAATGCAATGAGATATGCTAACCCAGAACGTCTTCAAGGTGCCTTGCGCCGAGCCCAGTGCAATTTACCAAGGCCCCAGGCGTCAGAGTCGGTGTGGTCGTGAATTGGCTCGTAGAAGATCCGTCTTCGCGAATCTGCTCCAGTTCCGGATGCTTTCCGGTGAGGAGACTTGAAAGCGATGAAAGAGGCGATTTGGTCCTGAAAGCATAACCTCCCAACGCGAAGAAGAGTTCCATCAAATAAGGAAGATATTTCGGCACATCGACACAGACCTAGGTCCTGTGAGCTCTAGTTAAACTGACAACTGCTAATACTGTTGCGTTGGTTTCTCCTCCAGACATTCCTTTAGGGATTTCATTCTCCTCGAGAATACGATAGTCTGGGTAAAAGTTGGCGAGGTGGATTCTTCGCTCGATAGCAGCGTCGGTTCGCTATGATATGTCGATCAGTGGTGTTCATAACAACCAACCATACTTGCAGTCTCGATGAACCTGAAATGCGGTCGAACCATTACAGGGACATTCGGATCTTGCTCTACAAGGTCCAGAAACACGTCGAGTGTCTCTCGCTCTAATTCTACAAGAGGATTGAAACAACGTGGACCCGAAAAATTCAACCGTAATTACCCGCCATGAGAGATCCTGGGGCTGCGAAACTAATGTGGTTTGCTCCGGCCCAAAAGGACGCACACTTGACGCTTCGAGCATCTATCGCAGGAAACACTTCCGCGAAGATAGTGACCTTATAGCCAGCTTCAAGCGCACGAATGGCAGCAGAGAGACCAATCACGCCTACGGGAGCTCACCAGACCGCATCTGGTACGAGATAGAAACGCCTTACCAGCTCCAATCACGAAAACTTCGGGAACTTGCAACATGCCAGTGGAAGTCATGAGGAATCCAGAACGCGAGCACGTGCACAAAATGATCACAAACACAACAAATACTAATGCGCAAATCTGAAATCAAGACGCCTGTTGCCAACGTCTGTGGTGGTCTCCAAGTAGGTTTGCTGTTCCTGTTTTATGCATTAGTACCGTCTACGACATCTACGGAGACTCACCTCAATTGTCATACTTCCCCACACCTTCTCCCTCTGTCGATTACGCCAGATGTAGTACATTTTAGTGGCCGGATAAAGCACTATCAGATTGAAGCAGTTTATTATAATGAGAACACGGTTCCCGCGTCGGTCTAAAGAGAAAATGACGTTAGCTCCAAGTTGGTGAATAAGGACGAACATCGGGGGGCATCATCTGCACGATATATTTGGGCACCTATGATGGAAGAAGCCTGCACAAACCTGAACTTTGTTAAGAAATTACCGAATATAAGTTGGTCAGACACACATATTGTACAATGAGGCATTCACAGTCCTGCTTGCGACAGCACCAGAGTTACGAGAGCACCAGCCAACCTAGTTACCAGTTTCCAGTTCAACTTTTTTGAGACACTATATGCGCTGATACCTGGATCGGATGGCTATACCTAATTGGAACATCAACATCGGTCAAGGGAGCGCAGTCGGTAGGTGACGCACGGATAAGATAAAAGCCCCGAGGCAAGGCCCTACAAAGGTGTTCAGTATGACGATTCTGGTAATTATACCAGTAACACCGACATAATAGACCCATTGGTTCGGGCGAGCGGGAAGGCAGTACAGAGCGACCAGGAAAGGGAGAGTCCATATATCTTGCGCCATCGCAACCAGAGAACGCTCATTCACCGTCTCCGAGACGAGGGTGATGCCAAACATCATGATCATGCCAGCGACAGAAGACGGTATTGTGAGCAAATTTGTTTGGAAAGTTGAGAATCTGAAAATGGACCTGTAAAAACCTCAAGAAGATACGCGGGTTGTCGTTCTTACCCAAGATGTCGAAGACTGAGAGTTAGGTATGTCGTAGGTGGTGAAGAAGGGATGCCAAAGCACAGCCCAATAAGGTACAAGGGCCAGAGGTCATAGTCACACACTGCGGTCCAAAGCCGCTTCAACGTTAGACCTTCACGATTATGCATGTCACCCTATGTGGGTTGAGGTCACCGCTCTTATTGAAATCTAGCAGCTCTTACTTTGGTGGGATCATCTCTCAAGATCCTGGAAACCGCAATCGTTTCTTCCCGGTCGGTAAACCAACCCTGAGGTCTAAACCATGCCTTGGTTTGTGTTGGTGAGCTGGGTGCATCGATTGAGTCAACGTAGATGAAGAAAATCAGAAAGTTTACGGCGGCATTCTGAAGAAGGTAGCGATTCCAATGATGAGCGTTATGAGCCCTCTAGAGGATCGTTTCAGTCCTTACACAAGGGTAACCATATAGTCATAACGCACTCGAAGAGGAAGAGCCATCTAATCAAACAAACACTTAATTGCGTGTCGATGGGTCAAATGAAGACTTACCGCCAACCGGCTCGCCCGAGCACACCACGCATATGAAGAATTCCGTATGCGAGGAAGCTTGCTATGATACTGCAGAAATTGGCAGACATCCAGAAGAGGGCGAGTCGAAAAGGAAGCTCGTTCTTGGTATAAAAGTCTGGACAAGAGATTAGTTGGTGGTTAGACGGAGGACAGAGGTACGCTACAGGACAGATACAATATCAGATCAGGGATGAATCTGTCAAAGTTTTGCTTATGCAATGCAACGATTACAGATTTCGTACCCGCCTTGAAGGAAGCTGTCACGGTGATATTAGAGTATTGAGCAATGCCGGGAGATCGACTTACCCCAGAAGCCCCCGGCAAATAAGGAATGAAGCGCGACCAGTAAGCCAGTATTGCGCCATTGTAACAATGGACCACAAAACTATTTGAGTCGGGATCCAGCGATCAGGCCCAACCTGTACGATGGTCAGCTCTAGCAAAAAACTGGAGAGTACTCGAACTCGTTTGGAGACTAATTGAGATGGGAGTTCGGCCGAAAGAAAGGCAAGTCGGAAGACGCTGTTGGACTGGAAGTTGACATCTTCTTCATCGACATGGAATGAAAGGCGCACGTATTACCCAAATTGAGGTCTGTGAATAGATCAACTAACGTTCATTTGCAGGCCACAGAAATACCATTGGTGCTCAAGTGCAAGTCCCCCAGGATATTGTCCGAGTTAGCTTGGTTCAGATTGCTCCGGTCAAGATTGAGCGCCGAAAAGCTAATCGCAGCCCAGAGCATAACTTTCCAGTCGATCTTGCGGACAAGTGCCTGTGGCAATTTAGAGTAGAAGAGCTCCGGGGGATATGACACAAACCTGCTCTTCCTTATAAGTCCATCGTGCAGTAGGGTCGAATCGATGCAAGTTTTCATAGTCCTTCTTCGGCCAGTAATGCTGAGCGAGATCGGGATCGTCGTATACAGAGCGACGAGTGGCGATGGAATCGGGGTTGGGGGACTCATCTTTACGGCCAAATAACCAGGCAGACCAACGAAACGGAACAGGTTCTCCATCAACCAGCTCGTCCGTCACTGGTTGCACTACGGTGTCGTTTGTCGTTGCATTGGCATCCGCCTTGAAGACTGAGGAAGTCGGACTGACAGAATATTTGCTATCTGCGGCCATTACAGCGGGCTACCGCCATCTAGTGCCGGATGGTTGATTTTATGAGGTAGAATATTGCGCCATTCGACTGTCAAGTTGCTCAAGAGGTGGTTCGCAAGTTTCGAAGATTGTTGCGAAACGAATCGTGTGTTCTCAAGGCACGAGAAGGATGGCCAAGATAGAGTCGGTTATGGGTTCACCGCGGTCTACATGTTCTATAGTCCGGAAAGAGCAAAATTCTGGTTGATAATTGAGCGGAAGGTAAGTATATCCGGCGTTCCCTTCCGGCCAGGAAAGGGACTCGACCAACGGTTGTAGAATATACAGCAGTGGTGTACTCCCGAGTGAAGGAACCTGAAACAGCTCACGTTGGCAAGGGCTTAAAATGACGAGAAGGTGACAACGGACCTTGACAGAACGACAGAACACGTGACTAGGATTAACACTTCGACCGTCCCAACATGCATATACAAAACTATGCGCTCTCCGTTGAAATCCAGAGGTTTGGCCCCAAACTCATGAACTGAGCGAATTCGGCCATACCACTGCAGTCTACTCCTGCGGGCAGTCTGGCGGGTCTTTCTTCCAATCTTCCAGACTGCCTGTGAGCGAAAGTCTGAAAGTCAATCATTGCGGGATATTCAATTCGTTGACTTGAACTCAGCCGAGCCCCTTCTCCGAGTCGGACCACTGTCGGCTTCAAAGCATATATTTTGCTCGGTGAAATTTAGCTCACATGGTCACCAGGCGCAGCAGCCTATTGCAGCACTCCCAAGGATACTCACGGCGAATGCCTACTTTCAAGTTAGCTTTTACCTCCGACCACAGTTCCTCAAGCCCACGTTATGCGATTCATTTATTACTTGGTCAACCGGTTGCACTTTGTCTTGAGAGGCCACCTGTCGCAAACAGTATCTCTGTGGCTAAACGAGCGATGTGTACTCCTTCTTCAGCTCAAAACTCGGGTGTTGACGACGTTCCTGCCATCGATGCGGCCATTAAGACCTGCGGAAACGGTGGTATAATCGTGATCCCCATTGGCGTCACATATTCTATTCGCAGTGTTTTGTCGTTTACCGGATGTGCGTCTTTCTACTTTCTCTTGTGAAAAGTGCTCCATCTCCAATGTGATCTAGGCGTCAACTGTGACTTCCAAATTGAAGGAACCATGAAACTTTCAGACAACACGACTTTCTGGAACGGCAAGAAGACGGTGTATGATATTGCTTCTGTTACCGGGCTTCATATGCACTCTGTAACGGGCACTGGGTTGATCGATGGAAACGGTGTGCCTTACTGGACCCGTTCGTCTCTATCAGACTTTTAGATTCAATGTTCACCTTCTCCTAGTCTTCGCTGAAGACAGCTCTTTCGCGCGGCCAACACTGGTCACGATCACATCATCGACCTCGATCACGATTTCCAACCTACATTTCCGCAATGCGCCAAACGTCTTCCATTCCGTTAGCGGGGGGTCAACGAATATAATATACGATGGTCTGCAACTTGACGCGACTTCTACAGCAACCGTCACAGCAAAAAATACGGACGGATTTGACGTTGGCTCGAGTTCGCATGTTACGATCAAGAACACCAATGTGGTTAACCAGGACGACTGTGTTGCCCTCAAGCCGGGTAAAACATATCCATGTCCCTTTCACCTTTCCCTAATCACAGTAGCAAGGCTCCGATTTCGCCCTTGTCCAAAATATCACCTGCAATGGCTCTCACAGCTTATCCGTTGGGAGTTTGGGTAAGGGGGTTGGGTCTAGTGACAAGGTTGCTACTTACACTTAGTGATATTGGAGATTGACTGCGATTTTGTAGGTCACTAATGCTTTCCTCGGCCCTGCCACCATGATCAACTCCGCCAAGGCCGTTGGCATTAAACTTTATGAGGGAGGCTCGTCTCACGGAGTGGCCACAGTCTCGAATATCACCTGGTCTGATATCACCGTGAAAAATTGCGACTATGCTGTCCAAATTCAGAGCTGCTATTCAGCTTCAAATACTTCGAACTGTCTCGCAAACACGGATAGCCTAACGGGTGTCGTCTTCAAAAACATTGTGGGCACGACGTGCGTCGATGTGGCCGTGCTCTTGGTTGAAAGTTCTCACCTGCTTATGGATCTTAGGTCGTCACACTACAGTCCTGTCGTCGCAAACATCAATTGCTCGCCGTCTGCGACCTGCAATGTTACTCTCCCGGGATTCAATGTGAAGCCGCCCAGCGGAACTGCACAGATTTTATGTTCTAATATCGACGGGTCGCCTAGTGTGACCTGCACTGGTCCAGCCAGCGGTTGATGCTTGACTTGGAGCCCAACTGACTGAAATACATAGTAGCGTTTCTCCATCTCTCCATCTCAATGATATAAGTTCTTCGTTCTCTTCCGCCGCGGCTGTTTCCATTCGGTGTGGCGTACAGCCTGAATGTCCAGAGTTGACCATCAAGACTTGGATGTCAGAGCGAATCAGCATTGCACTGCCGTAGCACGGGGTATAAGTGGCCAGATTTCCCTTTTTACTGATGCCTGGATGCGAAGCACAACGACGTCGCAGCCACGCAACGACAATGCCCCGTGGCTACAGCATCGATCGAAGAAAATTGAGAACGACCCGCCGAATCCTCAACTCCAATCTCCACTCTTTGCAGTTCTTCCAGCGGAGATACGTGACATCATTTTCAGCGATGCACTTCGCATGGGCCCCGACTTCACCAAACCATACAGCAAACACTCATACCACTACCGGCCAGGCTTTGAATGCGCTGAATATTTACTTGGGCCGGGTCTCCTCTCGACATGTCGCGCAATATATATAGAGGCACATCTTCTACCCGTCCAACAGAACTCCCACGTATTTTGGATGTACCATTCGCCTCCAAACCGCCATGTCTTCGATGTCAGGCTCTATTTCAACAAGATGAACAGCGAGCAGCGCGCTGCAGTACGGCACGTCTGGGTGTTTGCGCAGCTGATTTGGCTGTCGACGCGTAAACCATCAGATTGGGTGGGACACTGGACCGCAGGTTTGGTGGTGCCTCGTCTAACGATCACAATTCGCCATACAGATTGGCTGAACTGGAATACCAATGAGGGGCCCATTGTAGCCTTGCCAGAGAAGTGGATTGCTTGGGTTGAAAATACCCCTGGGCTGAAAGAACTGGTTCTTGAGTTAGAAACGAGTGAACAACAGGCGACACGAATGGAGATGTTGATAAAGGATTTGAAGAAGGTGGTATTTCACGTTCGGGGGCAGCATCGGTTGGTTTGGGACCGGCAGATGGACAAGGCATTCGTGTGGCACGCAACGGCAGCATTGGCCATACACGATTCGAGGACATTAGGAAGTAAGCGATATGGAGTGCTCGAAGAGGTGGAGTTGGATGACAAATATCCGTTCAATGTTCCACTTCAGCTTGGCCGAATACGATTCACAGTAGATGGTGCTTAGATTTGGTCGAATGAGGGTAGCACATACGGAGTGATCAAGAGCACACACCTGGTCTGTTTCCTGAACCTTCTTAAAACCAAGCCACTGAAGCCAATCTACACCCTGCTTGTGCAGCATCATCAAAGCCATGATGACTGGAAGGTACCACAAACTGTGCCGAAAGACGAGACGGGCCTCTCGCTCACTTCCACCGCGCCAAAAGCGCCAAGCGGCCTGGACATAGACAGCATTGGGAGCTAACGAAGTGAATGCAAATGTCCATGTCGTCAGACCCGACAATGGAAAAAGCAGAGAGCAAATCGGAACAAGGAGGACAGCATGGCGCAACGAAACCAAAGCGTTTTTTCGAGGGTCGAGGACGGCGAGCATTTTATAACCCGCTTGTGCATAAGAGGATCTGACGAGGTGGGCAAGTCCGTTGAAGTGAGGGAGTTGCCAACTGAAAAGCAGCATGAAGAGGGCGAATGGGGCAAGAGCGTTGTCGATCAGGGCAAAGTCGATAGGTGTGTTGGCGAAGGGTGTGAATGTATGGAGTGATGAGGGGAGAAGATGACCACCACATGCGGTCCAGCCCATTAAAGGCGGAAGGGCGCCAACGACAGCTCCAACCCAGGTATTGTAGATGGACTTGCGCTTCATCCACGTATACAGTCCAGCATAGAGTGCGATATTTGAAGCGCCAAGGACTGCAGTCAATGGATTGACAATTGTCCACAGCAGCAATGGTCCTGATATTCCTGTCACAAGGGCAAAGCCAGTCGCATGAAGCGGAGTAATGGCTCGACGAACAAGCGGGCGGTTTCGGGTTCGAGCCATTTGTGCGTCAAACGGGACTTCTTGTAACTGGTTTAGGGTATTGGCTGACGCGGAACACAGAGCAGTCCCAGCGGCTGTTGCAAGAAGGGTCGGTACGGTGGTATGAAGGGGGCATAGGGCTACACCCGACATGGCCGTCAGCACAACCAGAAGACTCAGTCGTGACTTGGACAGCTCCGCGTACGCCTTGAGGATGGAAGGAGAGGGGGCATGGCGAACGAGTGTCGCTGGTCGATTGAGCAGAAAAGACCGGTGGAAGAACGGAGTGGATGTACGGCCGACCAACCAAACTCGTTGCATGAAAAAAAAAAGTGGGCACGATCACGTGCCTATTTCCGATATCTGAATGACCTCCCACTCGGATGTGAGGTCTGCCGTGGTTAGTACTACATACATACCGATGCCCGGGAGCTCTCAAAAGTACTACTTCACCCGTTCAACTGTGATCGGGTCCCGCATGTAACTGATTCAAATAATCTGAGCGTGGGTTTATTGAGCTACTGTACACTTCTTCGGCTATAGCCTGCCTTTCTCCCAGATCTGTTCTCCTTCGTCACATCCTTGGCAGTCGCCTTCATCCAGGGCGATGTAATTGATACATCACCTTGCTTTAGTAAGGTCCCCCCAGGGTCACAACCTGGCACGATCATGATCTATTGATGGTGACCCAGCCAAACATGTACAAACCAACCCGAACGACCGTGGCCAAAAACCCCAAACCTTCGATGAAACCTCGGTGAAAGTCTCTACGTAATGCATATTACATAAAGTCACATCTTGTCACCTGTCGTCATTTGAAAAACTCGAACAGAACCCTCTGTTCTGCTGAGGTGGCAAGGGTATGTAGCAGTGTGCATGCTCATATATTTATCTAGTCAGATTGCGCCTAAGTTGATATGATGGTGATCCAGCTCAAAATGGAGGCTATTATCTGATTTAATCAATTTGTAATGATGTCACAACGCGTCACAGCTGCATTTAGCTTGTGTTCTGTCCTCAATAATGGTTAAAGAAATATGGAAAATTTTAATAATACTTGCATACTATTATTCCACATTATAGAACCCTCCGTTTAACAGAAATAATTTAAATAAAATTTCTGTGAGGATCAAGTAATTGTAGAAACTGCGTAGTCTAGCTTAGAAACACCAAGGAAGACACAGATATTCTGGAATAACAATGAGAGACAGTGACTAAAGAGGCAGTGCCAATCTTACAATATTGCAAATACTATAGTATTTCAATCAAGTGTCTGTGACTTTTTGAATTTTTGAACCTAAAAAAATTTCTTTTGGTTTAAGGTGATTTTTGACAAGGAGTTTTTTGGTCATTATAACATGTTACACAGACACTTGATCTAACCAGTACAGTGATCTATATAAGATCTTAGATTTTAGTAAGTAATGTGAAGGGCTATAATAACATTTCAGCAGATGTGTGGACAATATAAGCAATTAACAGTAAAATTTCTATGAAGAGTATACTATACTAAAGTGTATTACTACAACTGTCACATAATTATAACACACCTGTACAACAATAATGCCCTGAGCATTATATATTACATAGTGACAAAAAGTATCCCTTGTTGACCAGATTTATAGGGTGGAGCACGGGTCCGGGTCTCAGAAGGCTGACCCTGACCCTGACCCTGACTAACCCTGACCCTTCCGGGTACGGGTCCAACCGGGTCCGGGTTGACCCACGGGTTGCAGACATGGAAGCAGAAGATGTATTTAGGACAATAATTTTGACATAATATACATTTTGCTATATGATATTGACTCAGATATAGTATATGTAACCTTTTCCTCAAGATTTTGAGCATATTCAATCTGATTTACTTCTATGTCACATGTCACATGAGTGACATGAGTGACATATGATTTTTTTGTCTCCCAAAAACTAACAAAAATCATGTTTAGATAGGGAATTGTCCCATCACAACAGCTTATTGGACCCTCCGGGTTGACCCTGAAAGGGTCCGGGTTTGGCCGGGTTCAGAAATAGATGTACCCTGACCCTGACCCTGACAGACCCTACCCTGAAACCCTGCGGGTTGACCCTGACCCGTGCTCTACCCTACAGATTTAATAATAGTTAGAAGCTTGACCACCATACTGTAGTATTTTAATCAATTCGGCGCCCAAAAAGTGTGTGACATCGGTGCCAAATTGAAATTTTCGGCGTCCGAGGCCTCCGAGTGTGACCGCCGAAAATTTCGCAGGGCCGCGCCAGCCGAAAATGGTCAATTTACCAGGTGAATTCGGCGTTTGTTACTGTTGCATGTGACTGCCGAAAAAATTTCGGCGTTTTAACGGCGGGTGTGACGCGTGACCGCCGAATTGATTAAAATGCTACAGTAATATCTCTAGAAGAAGAAGTCAATTTGAGTGCAAAAATATCAATTATCTGAAGAACTTTCCAAGAATAGACCAGATCTGGCAAGCATAACCATGATGCACCTGGCCTTTAATAACAAGCCTTGTATCATCTGCTACACTTACCATTTAATGGACCACCTGTTATGTGTTATGTCAAGGAGAGAGGAAGTAGAAAAACTAAAGAGTATATACACAGAAAAATTAAGGGCACACAGCTGGACCATGCATAACAATTGCCTATTTAGGCAGGTGCTTCACAGGATCACAGGATTGACTCACTGAGAAATCATGCAGACAAACTATTGTAGTATGGCCAATTATTATAGCTAGTATAAGGAAAGAATAGTCATAGGATTAGACTTGTATCAATAGTTCAAAACCCAGATATGTGAATCTGAGAAGTATCAGATCACAAATGTGACAATATGAAAGTTTATTAATCAAAGGAACTGTATGTATAGTACACCTGTTTGTCCCAAAAATGACTGTGAATTCACAGTGTTGACCCGGCGGGGTAACACTGTGTAGCAACAGAAATTTGCAAGGTTCTCATAGAAATGAATAATCCATGGATAAAGGAATGAATAATTGTAAGTTTTTGAAGTTTCTAAGGCGATTTTTGACCAAGTCCAATACATTGTAGGCTTATCAGTGGTCTGTATGGTATGAATAATTTGAATAATATCGATAAAGTCTATATGCTAATAAGATAGTCAGCAGAGAATGAATAATAATGAATAATTCAAGACCTGAGACCCTAGGCCTGAGTTCAGCGCCGTCACACCGTGTGACAGGCATGACAAATTTCCCAAAAAGGAAATTTTCGCCATTTAACACTATAATCATTAGAAAATGTCACAGATTGTCACAAAATCAAAGTTGTATATTTTGGTTGTATAAACAACTTTTATTAAGTGATCTGTAGTAACAGCTCAATAGTTGTGCCAGCACTAGCCAACCACTAGCTGATCCATAACTGATGAGATGATATCTCAATAACAAGATAGGTTACAGAGCTAATTGAAGTACTACTAAGAATACCTGAATGATTGGGTCAATATTCACATCAATCTAATGTTATCTGTATATCAAACAATTAAATGATTATGCATCAGACTCATTGATTCAGCAATGTATCCTCTAATTCTTTCTAAATTCAAAATATTTTTTTCACTAGTACATAGGTAGTTATATTGTCTTGATGTGTTCTCATATGAGTATAGTCTCATATCCTTATACCATACTGTTATACCACTTTTCTGTAGTTTTTCTGCTTCCAATTTGATCAAGCACAGTGATGGCCTGATATTTGGGTCAGGAATGCATGGATAATTATGATCTAAGTTGTGTTCTAGGCAGATAGATGTCCATCATAGCCCTGTAAGACACACCTATCTTTAGGCAATCTACATACCTGCATATAAGGCATATATCCTGTTATTCTAATCTCCCAATAACTCACTTGGACGTAAGGAATTCCTAATGAGATGAAGGTAGGAAGCATACAGAGGGGTCCCTCTGAAATATGACATGCCTCTCATAATTTACCATCCATGGAATCTTCTGTTATTTGGTATTATACACATTGCTTCTATTACACAAGATATTCACAATACAACTATGATCTGTTAGTTGATTATAGATCAAAATGTGTCAAGTTCAGTCAATGAGATATATAAAGATACCCATGTACTCTGATTGGTCTATATATATTCTTAGAGGATGAATTAAGGTGAACATTCCAAGCCAGGTTGAGTGCAGAACTGGTTTACACGAATAGTAGGGTCTATAGACTGAGTACTGGACATTGAGATGCATGTATGGGGGTATTTGAATGTGTACTAAGACCCTCTACTGTAATTACTTGTGGTTCAGGTATGTGTCACCAGAGGTAGCTGAAGAGGGGGTAGGTACCCATAGAGCAAAAGATGGTGTCTTCGCTATTACAACTGGTCAGAAATTAATTTCAAGTATAATCCAATACATGAAGGTAGGATGGTATAGACCTCCAAATGAACCTGTCTAGCACTTGAATCAACCTCATAGCCATTCTGGATCCCTCCCAGTACCATTATCAGTGTTATCTATTCAAAAGATGATGGGTTGGCCATGGCATAGCCTTTATAAGTCTGAGAAATCTAAGTATATGTACAAGTAGGGGCATGATCCAGCTCCCAGAAAGTGGTGCCCCTGCCTCTGTAGCCCATCTTCATCCTGTGTTATATAACACCTAAGGCCTCCAAGAATTGACTTGCTCTAACACTTGTGGTATGATCACAAATGGGTGGGATTATAGTGGACCATCATATAGTGGACCATCATATGTCACTATATTAACTTAGATCATGGGATTCTATGGATGTAGTCCCAAGATATCAGCAAAATACTCCCTAGCTCAGTATTGAATCATACTTGGCAGTCAATAGGTTGATGTCATGGCACCAAATGAGATGACTAGATGAAAAAGATAATGTTAGGGTACTATACCCTTCAAATGAGCACTCTCCCAACTTTATCTGCCCTAACTAGCTAGAGATCCATAGTTATCTTACAGGGTTGATGAAGATCAAATACTACTGATGTGTGGTACATTGCATTACTAGTATCATATTCACTCAGAATCTGAAGCTGAAATACCAGAGCCCTGGTGTGGAGTATGTGAACATATGAGTCACCTACCACACACTAGTTTAAGTACCAGATATTCATACTATAGTGATCAAAGACCATTGTCAATTAATGGTACTGGTCAAAAACTTCCTGGTAGTACTTGAATCATGTGTTTACCTCAAGTAGTTATAAAGATAGAGGCTCATCAGTTGTAGCTCAGCTAGTAATTGACTAGTGCTGGCATAACTATTCAACTGGCAGTGTAGGTGACTTAATGAAGTAGTTGTTTGTATATGCAAAATATAC